GAAATATTTCAAGAAGTGGTGGGTGTAGATGCAATTTTAATATTGTAATAGCAGCATTGTTGTTATAAGCATTATCAAATGACATACACAAAACTTTTTTTGCAAAGATTATAAAATATAGCAACTTCATGGATAGTATTACTTATAAATGCACCAGTATGACTTTGATCTTCATCATATTTAAAAGCAATAATACATTTTTGCATACAAAAATTTACCATCTATCCAATGGCATGTAACAGTCAAATAATCATTTCTATTTACAGCACGACTAGTATCACAAGTAAGAGAAACTCTACAAGAAAGACTGGCAAACAAATAACGTATATATGTCTGGTATTGTCCAAAAAGCCTAAAGATATCAGCTCTACAAGTACTTCTAGGAATACCTTTAAACAAAGGGTTATAAATTCTTTGAATATAAGTAACAAGATACGGTGAAGAAGCAAAACGAAAAGGTAAACAACCTAAAACAATCATTTTAGCTAATTCTTCTCGATATTTCTTAATATCGTATTTACCCATTAACCCCCAGTACTCGGGTTATGTTTTTGTTGTCCATCTTCCTCATCTACTCCCCAATTGTAACGACCCGACCGGTCGTTTTGAGCATTTGCACTTCACTCGCCAGTTCTCAAGCATGACTAACCCCGTATGATATATTATGACTTGTGTAAATTGTCGGTTTTGGTTTTCAGGTTAATCGGAACAGATATGGAAGAATGATTCTCAGATTGAAGCTTTAAATTTGAAAGGTTTGACCAAGTTTTGACTTTTTAGTATTCGATCTCGGATTTGGATTTTTATGATTTGGTAAGCTCCGTTAGGATATTTGAATTTGGGAGCACGTCTGGAATGTGATTTGGATGTCCGTGGTAGAATTAGGCTTGATTTGTGAAATTGGAAATTTGGTGTTTCCTGGTCGGCAGTGGGAATCTTGATATCGGGGTCGGAATGGAATTCCGGAAATTGGAGTAGGTCCGTTGTGTCATTTGTGATATGTGTGCAAAATTTCAGGTCATTCGAACGAGGTTTGGTAGGTTTCGGCATCGTTTGCAGAATTCGAAAGTTTGGAAATCCTTAAGCTTGAATTCGAGGGTAATTTGGTGTTTTGATGTTGTTTCGAGTGTTTCGCAGGTTTGAATAAGTTTGAATGGTGTTATGTGACTTGTTGGCGTGTTTGGTTGAGGTCCCGAGGGCCTCGGGATGAATTTGGATGGTTGACGGAAGGATTGGCATTGAGTTGGTGCTGCTGAAAATTTGCTGCTTCTGTCATATCCGCACCTGCGGATTGGGGACCGCAGGTGCGAGGTCGCATCCGTTCCGCAGAAGCGGAAGATGAGTCGCAGGTGCAATGGTGTGACCGCAGACGCGAAAAGTGGTTCATTAAGTGGGTTCCGCACCTGCGATGGAAATTTCGCAGGTGCGGTGCTGCAGAAGCGGGTATTTGACTGCAAGTGCGGTTTTGCTGGACAGAAAACCCCAGCTCGAGGTTTGTTCTTCATTTTTCGATTTTGGGCTTGAGGAACTCGGGAGAGAGGCGTTTTTTCAAGTGATTTGAAAGAGCAATGTTGGGGCAAGTGATTCTAACCTATAATGGTTTAAATTTCATAAATCTATGATTTTATTCATCATCTAATTGAGAAGTTGGACTAGAAATTTGGGAATTTAGGGCTTGAAATTGGAGAGTGAATTTTGAGAATTTGGGTGACCAAATGAGGTCGGATTTTGATAAATTTGATATGTATGGACTCGTGAGAGGATAATGATTCTAGTGTTATGGTTTTTATCGAATTCCGAGGCGTGGGCCTGGGGGTCGGGTTTGGCCAATTTCGATAATTTTGATTTAATTTGATAGTCTTTGCATGGACTTTGTTCCTTTAGCATGTATTGATGATATGATTCTGATTTTTGGATAGATTCGGGGCAATTTGAGGCCGAGTCGAGCGGCAAGGGCATCGCGGAGTAGATTTTCGTCCGTTTTGAGGTAAGTAATGATTGTAAATCTAGTCCGAGGGTATAAAACCCTGAAATTTTGTACTATTTTGATAAATGAGGTGACGCACATGCTAGGTGACGGGCGTGTGGGCGTGCACCAGTAGGGATTGTGACTTGGTCCGTCCCGTGGCAACTGTAAAGTTGCATATTTTGATAAATTCTATATGATATCTATGTGTTTTAGAAATGATTCTGTTAACTTGGGTGAAATGCCATGTTTGGGGGCCTTGTGCCGTACAGTTTGGACCGTCAGGAGTATTTTACTACTATCCTCACACTGTTTTAATTCGAAAGCATATCCTCAGTCATGAGTTTTACCTGTTTATTGTTTGATTCAGTTTCATTAATCTATTTTTAAATATATGAAAGTTGTTTGGGCTGAGTTCCTTGATTTTTCACTGAAATACCCGAGTGGCTTGTGAGGATGATGATTGAGAGAGGCCGAGGGCCTGATGATGAGGATTATATAATTATGGATCAGGCTGCACGCCGTAGTGATATATATATGTATATGGATCGGGCTGCACGCCACAGCGATATATGGATCGGGCTGTACGCCGCAACGATATTGGGTCGGGCTGCACGCCGCAACAATATAGCGCTTGGGTTATAGGAGCTCCTCCGGAGTCTGCACACCCCCTAATGAGCGCAGTCGACTATATATTTATGGATTGGGCTGCACGGTGCAATGATTATGATAAGGTACCTATTGAGCGTGAGTGCTGAGTGTGAATGCTGATTGATGAGAGCGGAGTCACGAGTGACTCAGAGGCTTGCCCGAGGGGCTATATATATATATATGAGTGATACTTTGCCCGAGGGGCTTGTTCTATGAAAATAATGTTTTCACTCCTCTTTTATACTGAGCCTCTATTGAAAATGTTGAACAAATATTTTTAAATAACTTTCATTGAAACTGGAGTTTTTACAGATGTTCGAAATTTATTTACTGATTTGATCTTGTTGTTCCCACTGAGATTTTTATGTTATGAGATGTATATGATTTTAAATGCTCGTCACTACTGCTCAGTCTTTATTTACCTTTATTATTTACTGAGTTGTCTTACTCATATTACTCTCTGCACCTGTGTGCAGATTCAAGTATTTCTGAGCCCGGTAGCGGGTGTTGATTACTCAGCGGCAGGTCCATCGGAGTTAGCAACGATCGCAGCCAAACCGGGCCTTGCGATCGCAACCCTGTTTTCCTCCCTCCTTATTCTCCCTTAGTGGTATTCAGTAATTTTCCCGGCCATGTTGGTCTTGATGTTGTCAGACGGTTGTAGTAGATGCTCATGACTAGTGACACCCCGATGTCGGGCTTTCTTTCCGCACTGTTGTTTTGTTTTAAACACTCTATAAAGGTTTATAGTTAAATAGCTTTGATTTTATCCTAAGAATGAAAATATTGATTGGTTTTGGAATTGTGTCGGCTGGCCTAGTTCCATGATAGGCGCCATCACGACCGGTTGGTTTTGGGATCGTGACACCAATCAAGATGCTGGAGCTCTACCATATGCCTACAAAGTTGACCCGTTCCCCCTCCATTACCGGGCTCATGTCTATAAAGTTCATTACACATTCTACATTTTACATAATTTTTTTGATCTTCTAGTCTGTCAAAAAAATTCCAACACTTACTTCTTAATATTCGATTCTTCTTAATAGGGAGGGGAGGCTTACTTGTTCCACCCCTAATATTTTGAGTTTGACTAGCATTACCAGGTGTAGCTGGTGGTGTTTCAAGATTATCGGGTGATTGAATATCATCTAAATCATCATATATATCATAATTTTCTTGCATTCGCTCATAATCTACATTTAAATTTTCAGGTGAACTTTCATAAATATGTGTAAAGCTACTAGAAGAACCAACACCACCTCTTGATCTTTTGGAAGTTTTCTTACTATCACCTCTACTAGTGCACGCTTTTTTGGCTGCTCTAAGTAAATCCATTATGTAAATTAAATTAAGAAATTAAATTAATAATTCTAAATAATAAAATAAGTGTATACCAAAAAAGAGAAAGAGATGGAACGAGTGTACCGGGATTCCGGATGCCGCACTAATTTTGATATCAAAAATCAAACTTTAATTGATAGACCGATACTTAATAGTTGATAGTACTTGATACCACACTTCACTTGAATACTTGATATTTGATAATAATAGTTTTGTAATGGCTAAACTAAATATTTGATGAAACTTGAAATAATAAGTAATTGAGAATTTAAGAACAATAATCAATAATATCAAGAGAGAATTAGAGTAGTAAGCGAGTGAATTGTGAGAAAGAATGAAGAAGAAGGGGGGCTAATTATAGTTTTTAAAAGGTTAAAATTATGATTTTTCAATTATTAGGGGTGGGAGGGCTATTTTTTTTAATGGGGGAGACCGAAATGGCCATTTGTGCAAAATCTGGCCGTTGCCAACGATCATTTCTGAATTTGACCGTTGGCAACGGTCCACAAAATTAAAAAAAAATGTAACGGATACCGGGCTGAACCGGGCTGCAGCCCGTTAACAACCCGTTAACGGGTTAGCGGGCTTAGTGGGTTCCGGTGCACCGGTATCCAAAATGTGTTCGTCTAAAACCCGCCCCCCGCCTAACCCGTCCCAGCCGGCCCCAATATGCTACAGTAACGGGCTGAACCGGGCTGACCCGAGCCAAAGCGGGTTGAAAACGGGTCAGCCCAACCCGATTAACAGGTCTACACCAAACTCTACCATATTAACATGACTTTGTGTCATCTGCATCCGACATATTCGTTAAATTGATCATAAAATTTATCAGATTGGCAATAACTTTGTGATTGTTAAATTATTCATCAAACTCTACCATATTGGTATGACTTTGTTTTATCTGCATTCAACCTATTTATTATTTGTTAAGTTCCATCTGATTAGCTTTTTTTGTCTGTGTTGCTCAATAAAGTTGTGAACTTTAAGGAACGTAAATGGAGCAACGGTAACATTGGCAAACCCTCTCTTCTCTCACGTGAACTCGAAATTTGGGTTACTGTTTCGGCCACGGCCTCCTCCGATCAATGGACCCAATGGTCCCCCAGATCCACCGCCTTTAATCCCCACCCAGATTCCGAAAACATCTCTTATCCCAAATCACAAATCCTTTACTCCCCAACCCACAAACATTAGTGAAATTTCTTTTTATAATCAAAATTCCCCAAACCCCTCGCCCCCTTTTTCCTTTTCAAATCAAAACCCGCAAATCACTTTGAACACAAAAAATCATGAAAGTACTACTGCTAATAAAACTGCTATCTCTCAAAGTAAAATTAATGGCGACAATTCTTACATATGTGCCATAGGAATCAAAACCCCAAAACCAAGGAGCAGAATCCGACTCCCTCCCAGATCTTACGAGCTGATTAACGGCAAACCAGTGGTAAATTTTACTGAGGAGGAAAATGATATCTTGGCGCAGTCATGCAAATGAACTATAGTTGGTAAGTTTTCTAAGATCCTGTAATGACCAACGAACTGGGCCTTGGCCAGCTCATAAGACAAGCGGCCCATCAACTCTTATCCTATTAGCTTTTTTATTTTCTTATAACAAATAAACAAAAAGGGGAAAAGAAAGACAGAGAAAGATGCGGTGAGAGAGAGAACGAAGGAGGTGGTCTATGAAGGTTTATAAAAGAAGAAAAAAAAACCATCTTTGCTGGTTTCATCGTGGCAGCAACTCTCCAATAAAAAAGGAAAAAGAAGAGAGTGAATATAAAAGAAAGAAGAAGGAAAGAATAACAAGAACCAGAAACCTAGAAGCAAAATCTAAGGCTAACGTTGCAAGCAAAGACCCAAATTCCTAACTATGTTATTGCTCCTCCATTCAGGTGTATATGAGAAATTTTTTTACCCATCAATCGATCTCATCTTTTTCTAGGAGTAATTAACAGTAATAGCTGAAACTTACAAAGTCAATTATGAAAAATTGGAAAACGTTAACTTTGGGGCAAAGTAATTAGGTAGCAAATTATCAGAAAGCGAAAAAGAGAAAAGATGTTCTTTTCCAGAATAGAATAAAGACAGAAATTCCTTTTGAAGATGACTAGGAATAACTAAATTGATGCACACAACAGCCAAATATAGACATTTCCGAGTATGAAGCGCAATTTTGATAACCTGCTATTAAAGAATGTTGAAATTATTTTTTTTAGAACAAAACTTTAGGTAGGAATGCTAGAGTTGCCCCTCAAACTATTTGTACAGAAAAGTGATTTGGTGCAATAGTTGAAAGGGGGATCGAAAACTTATAAGCTTTTATCACTAGAAATATGTAAATTCATGAGTTTAAGAATAATTAATCAAACCTTGTATTGTATTTTGGATAGTTGATATTTGACGACGCGATTATTGGAAGCAACTTGGAGTTGTTCGGCAATAGTACTGTGAGTAATGACTCTTCCATATTTGATTTTCAACTATAGCATATTTGAAACTAGTTTCTTGCATAAAAAGTATTTTGACAAAAGCTATTTACTTGCATATGGACAAGCAATAGTATAATCTGGTATGTTAATATATGCCAAATGACGCTTTAATACATGGTTTCTATTACAATTAATATACTTTGGAGTTAGTTTATTTATGATTTGTTCTTCTTATTTTGAATTTAATTTTGATAGAAGAAGGGTAAAAACATATTGTGCTATAAAGAAAATGGCTTGGAGAATCAACTTGGCCAGATCGCCATTATCTAACGTCGGGATCATTAAACCTGGTGCACCTTATATGATAGACCGGTATATATCACACTTATACCCTCTAGAAGGGAACCTAGTTGACGGGGTTGTCAGACGGCCATGATAGACCCATGGTGTCAGAAAGTTTATCGACTCTGGCTGAAGTATCTCTCATTTTAACGAAATTATAGAAAAATATAGAATTATGAGCATGTTTTCACTCCCTTGATTTATCATTTCATATATGAATTATTATGTTGGGTTAATGAACTATTATTGAATATATTACGAGATACATGATTTCTGATATATGCTTGTGTCGCGCCTCTTTATCTTGCGAAATCGGGTTCGACACGTGGCAACTCTTTTAAGGAAGGTGTTAAAAGAGAGAGTCGCCACCTAACGGGTTTGAGGTGCGTTAGAGCACCTATTTGCGGATAACTCTGGTTTAACCAGTTTGCGTCACCAAGATCAGGTAAGGGCTCAAATTACCTCGAAGAGAAGGTATTAGGCACTCTTCGAGGTCCACAACTGTGGGTCCCGGCCGAACTCGAGTTATATGAATTAGTCAGATAAACAACGACAGAGAGAAAATAAGAAGTTTGGGCAGTTTTATTATCAAGAACAAACACTTGATTTGAAGACATGATGGGGGGGGGGGGGGAGGGTCCTAAGTTTTTTAGCCTAAAGTATCGCCCCGTGCAACATAAATAATACTTTGTAACTCCCTCGAGGTGGGATGTTACTCGTATTATTCAGCAGGCACAGACTATCATCTCCTGCTACCCGATTACTATCTTTAAGTTTGTTACCTAGAGCGCACTAATTGATTCTAAATCGTTTCTTATGCGTGCACTACCCATCCCATGCCTGTGGCCCAGGAGGCATTTGGACCTCTATTTTGGACAGTTCTAGACTTAACATAGGTTGCTCAAAAATGATAAAACTAGGCGACATACAAAACAAGTTGGACTTCATGTAAAAGCAATTAAGGGCTCAAGTTAGCCTCAACACTTTAGACAACAAATGCACGCGAACAAATTCTCACAGTAGGCGTTAGACAGTTTTAGAATTGACCCAAAGTAAAGCCATTAATCCCTATAGACATGGTTTCTATGTGACCTCGTGCAGGCAGTTTCAAATGCAAGGTACAATCTTATAGACGTGATTTCTAAACAACTATACAGTTTAGGGAAATCTGGTATTGCATGCTGATTATTGACATTACAAATTATACGAGATTAAACCTATATACATGATCTCTAGTGATTTACGCAGTAGCTGGCAGTGATGACCATTGGAAATACTCAGAACTACTCAGTTTGATCCTATGGGCATGCTTTCTAATGATGGCATAACTAAGCAACGAAACAGTGTTTGAAAGTTCAATATTAACACCTTAAAGCGAGTGGTAATGTCCTACAGATAGGATTTCTAATAATCAACGATTGAAACTGATTTTTTTAATACTTAACTCGTATAGGCATGTCTTCTAGGTGAGATGTATAATAACAGTAGCGAATTGATCAATTAAAGACCTATAGGCATGATTTCTAGATGAAGATCAGTAGGACATAATCCTATTGTCATGGAATCTGAGGAATATGCTGCAATTATGCAAATTGAAAGAATGGTCATTGACATTTTATTTTCTATAGGCATGATATCTAACAAACATGTAGAAGCAAAATATGTTGAACGAATTAAACACTCAGGTCCAATAGGCAGGTTATCTAACAAACACATAGGAGCAGAACATGCTGAATTAAATACCTATAGCCATGATTTCTACACGTTTCATACAAACATTAGAATAGACCCATTTTCCCAATTTTACTAACACCCCAATTGTTATTACAACATTATTATAGGCCCAATGAATGAAATAAACTTCAAAGTTACAAATTAAGTATATTGGACCTAAGACAGGCCCAAAGTATACTCAGCCCAGCCAGACCTTCAGTTTCGTATCCATATAGGTTTCACCATAGCCCATAAGTCACAATCAATCCAACACAAAATAGCCAAAACCCAGTAGTCATAGTTTATCAAAGGTCCAGAAAATAGCCATTTAAACAAGCCCATTGGCTTATTCAGTAAGTGAAAAGGGGCAGAATGGAGCAGTTAGGACAAAGTGCCAAGGAACCTTAGACCCTAGTGTGACAGAGTTTACAAGGGTCTCAATTGGACCCCGAGCAGTGCTCACACTAGGGAGGTTAATGATAGAACCTAGGTAGCCTTGGCTTTCAGCTGGCTAAGAATGAGAACTCAAAAGAACCCAGGTAACAAGTGAAAGGGAGTAAACTAAGGTTGAGGGACAATATTGAGGGATATAAACGTAGCCAATTTTAGCACATAGAGCAGATAATCGAACATGCTTTAGGTTTTAAGAACAGACTTGCAAAAGATTCAGATGAACAAGTTCAACACCTAGTGCATAAGTAGTCATACATTAACAGAACAGGTTTGCAAGATTAGTGTACACAGACTCATAGTAAGGAATAGGTTCAAATTATGCTAAGTATAGGTCCTAGTGTTACAAGAGAGAATCATATTAATTGGCAATAGAATTTAGACATAATGAGAACAGATCATTGCAACTACTGGGAGGTCAAGACATGCTAGAATCATACTAATAGGGAACATGATCAAACATGCTATATAGGCAAGATATCATCACAACAAATTCAGAATAGGATAGGAAACAGACTTGTGCCATATAGTGAATGTATACATTCGTGCTTTTGAACACAATCAACTAGTCTATTAAAAAAGATACGAATTATGTAAGTAAAGCATATTCAAGTAACATGATTGATGGCAAAATTAAACAATAAAGAGATGCTAAAATACAAAGGTCCTAAACATCAGTAAGTTGCAACACATGGACTAGATAAGCTTTAAAGGAATCTAATTTACTCAGATCAGGTTTAGGCATGCTTTAAACTGTCAATATGAAGCTAAGAGTTAAGGAGAGCTAAAATTAAAGTAGAACAAACATAACTGCACACAAAACAACCTAGAAGAACACATTAAGCAAAACTTCAGGGGTAAAAACATATGCAAATCACAGATACATAGGAATGAAACTACGAAGTCCAGTAACTCACCAGTTAAGCGAAAAAACAAGAAAGAACAAAAGTCCACAGTATTCTGAATATCAATGGAGAGCAAGAACTCAGAATTTCAGTGTCCTTGGCTTTCAGCCGGCCAAGAACCAGAGTACAGAACAAGAGAATTAGAGAACAAAGAGCGATAACTTCAATTTTTAGTAAAGATTTTTACGATTCAAGTCTGTCTTAAAGGGGAATGGGGAGGGGTTTATATATGTCACGACCTGGATTTCCCACCCTCGGGAGTCGTGATGACGCCTACTCGTAGAAGCTAGGCAAGCCACGAAATATAAAAATGCTTAACTTTTTCATTTTTAACCTTTTTGACAACTTGAGTTAACAGGTAATCAACATATTAAAATTTGCGATAAACAGGACTTAGCGGAAGACTTAAGCAACTAAAAACTACCAAGCCTGTACTACAATGCCAATGTACTCCTCTACGCGGAATCTGGTGTCACAATATTCACGGACGGACTAAGATTACTACAACAAAGGTCTGAAAGAAATACAATCTGTCTCGAAATCTAATGAAAACAGAGTACATAATGAGATAGAAGAGAACGCCGGGCCTGCGAACGCCTGCAGGACTACCTCGGAATCTCTAGATGGATTGAAGGCTGGCTCCCCAAGTGCTACTGTCCAAATGCTGCTCCGGTATCTGCACATAATGTAGAGTGTAGCATCAACACAACAGACCCCATGAAAATCATTGATTTTAAGTTGAAATCATGTTAAAGATATTAAGGAGTGAAGAAAACGAGTTAGAAATCACTTACCAACATTTTGGAGAAGAAAAGTTGTTTGAAAAATCGCCTCTTATGTTATTGGGGTTTTGAAAAATAAAAAATGACTGAAAATCCCGTCTATTTATACCCCTCTCAGACCCCCTGTGCGGACCGCACAAAATGGACTGCGGCCGCACATCCCTTCCTGAGGATACTGCAGTCCAGTGACCCTGTGCGGACTGCACAAAGTCGACTGTGGCTGCACAGCTCTCCGCTGCGCACCGCACAAAGTCGACTGCGGACCGCACTGGCGGGTTCAGAGATCTGCAACTTCTCTGAACCTGCAACATCTGTGTTTTAGGCCTAAGACATCCCGGAACCTACCCGAAACTCGCCCGAGCCCTCGGGGCTCCAAACAAAACATACGTGACCCGCCCATGGGGGTATAAGGGAGTTTTTCCACTTTAAGTGACATCATTCGAAATGAGATTATTTATTTATCAGAGTCGCCACTTGGAATAATTTATTTTGGTGTCCTATATGGCTTCGAGCCAAGTGGGGTAGTCTGCTATCGATTAGTTGACTGCACG